ACAGTAATATCCAAAACCACTGTCAGTGCTTTCTATATAACAGCTTCTCTGTAAGCCTGTGCCTTGTTCTTCTTTTTGACCTCCATGTTCAAAAGTCCTAGAAGTTCCTCTTTTTAACTTCCCTGACCACCTTTGACCAAAGTAAAAGCATTATTTTGTAGCAATTGGAGAAACACACAGGGAGAACATAAGGATTGATGGCTCTTCCAAAATAGAATAGCAAAACTCTGGAACTGCATCTCGGGAAATTTAAGAAATTGAGGCATCTTACTCAGAAAATGCCCAAAAAGTCAATGCCCAGGTTCAACTCAGATCTGGATCTACACATAAACCAAAGTTAAGGAACAATGTATCTATCCCTGACCCACATTGACTTGAGGGTAGGGCTAAGTTGGACTCAATTTTTTTATTTGTTTTTTAACTCTAGGTACAATGCAGTGACTGTTTTAAACTATTCAGAGGCAGAATGTTTTTGCCCCACTCTTCAAGAAACACAACAGCTCCCTGTAAAGCATAAGAAACTATCTGGGGAAAAAATGCTTCCATTTTGATACATATACATAGCATTTATAGAAAACTTATGAGTCAGGGTGAGTGAGGCATGATGCCAAAATTAGCAAAGGAGCAAAAACATTGGTTGTTGTCCTTGTTACCATTTGTATAAAACCACACAAGTTTCCAATGCGTGTCTTGTTAAATTATGCTATTTTGGAAAGTGAAGCACAGTATACAGTTAGCTTTAATACATTCAAAGAGTGATGTATCATTTGAACAGCAGCATCTTCATTATTGAAGGTGAGTGCACATCATTAGGTGTTGATAACAAGTTTTATACTTGTTAACTTGGATGTTAACATCTAGAAAAGAAAAGAAAATCCATTCTTTTTGCAATTCAGTTCTTAGAAATTCTTTAGAATTTGCTAAAAATGTCACCTTTGGTTCACAAAATGCCACTGCTCATTATGGCTCACTTTACCACCTCAGCAACTAAAACTTTCTGGAACTCAGTTTAAGAAGGTTACAAGAACTTTCCACCTGTTTCTTGTTCTATCTATGCTATCTGAATTTGATGTCTTCATTTGCTGCACACTTGGTGTTTAGAAATGCAGGTCTTGCCAGTTTGTGGCTCACCCAGCTCTACAGAACTCTTAAATAAGACTTCAGGGTGAGAATGATGGAAAGAGGGTGCTTATTCTTTCTTCCTTCCCTATCTCCCTATTTTCTCACTTCAAAAAGCTCTGACAGAACACCAAAGCCACGAGTCTGTGCAATGTTCCCACATTATATAGAACCATGTCTAGGTAATTTGCTTCCTATATATCCTCCTACCACAAACATGTGTATTCAAGAATATTCTCACACATAGTAAAGTATTTCAAAATCTGAGTTTTCCAAAGTGTTAGCATGGTGAAGAGGCTTTGGGGTCTTTAAAGTAGTGTATTGAGTACAGCGTGTGAAAGAGTCCCTGGCTTCCTTTGCTTGTTTTATAGATCTGAAGAGACAGCAGGACACACCTTATGCTTATCACTCATATTATTACCTTATAATTCTTTGCTTCAAGAGCAATGACCTACATTATTTTCTAAGCCAGCCTGTTACTGGTCATTCTAAACTATTTCACTGGTTAAAAAAATAATAATACCAAACCTTCTCCAGAAAAAAATAAGCACCTTGTACTTAGTATTCTTCCTATTTAATTATTTGCCTAAAATACAGTCGCCTTTCATGACTCATACAGCAAAAGCTACAGCAGGTAACATTTCTTCTAAATGCACAGCTATTGCTCAGCTAGGAAATAGCAGAAAGTAGGACATTTGAGCACGTGTGTGCACCCAAATGTGTTCTCTGATAATCACTGTACTTTGAAGCACTAGATACTTTTGCCAAATTAGTAGATTTTACTTTACATTCAAACATTGTAAACTACTGTGATTTAGTTTTTAAAAGAATGTGTAACACAAGTACAAGCTGAATTTCTGTTCTCGTTAGAGACCATGTAACACAACTACAGGACAAAGTAGTAAACCCTTCCCTTTATTATCTGCTTGTTTTTACACTAACCTGCTCTAAAACCTTTAGCCCAACTCCCCATACATGTTGATGATTTCAAGAACTAAAAATAATCAGTAAATTATTTTATAACTTGCAAAAATAGAGAAGAAAAACCAACTTAAAATATGTCTCTGAAATAATAAAGAATGCTTTGCACCAATTCCCTAGTGCTTGGCAGAATTCTGTCAAGATTTTTCATTTGAAACCAGTTAATTGTCCTCCTTTTAGATTTAAGATAATATAATAGGTAGTAGTCATTCTGTTCTTTTTGCTTTTAACAGTTAAGAGGAGTTTAGTCCTTGTTTTATTTGTATTACCCAATTAATTTCTTAGTTGTATTGCTATCTTGGGATCAAAAGGCTGCAAATGATTATAGGTTTTGTGTTAATAGCAGAAAAATAGACCTCACCAAGTACAATATTCATAGGAAATGGCAGGCATGGGTTTGAGTACAGCTGAAATGATCAAAGCCTTTAAAATAACAGTTGCATAGTTTGATACATCAATGTACCATTTTTTTTCAATCTCCTAAATTCTCAGACTTCCAATATGAACTCAAATCTCTGGCAATCTAAGACTTAACTATCCATTAGACTATGTGATGATGTCGTCAGACGTACCATAAGTTAACCCATCACTTCACACTCAAGTGAAATATAAGCTGCAAAATAAATTGCTCTTAAAATAAATAGTCATTTGTTCAGTGCCTTCCAAAACACTTTAGAGAGAGAAAACTACTCTAAAGAGATGAAAGTAGGTGGGGAGGGGAAGTACAATAAAAAGATATTGAGCTGAGTGGTGGGGGGATTGGCATTTCCAGTAAAAAATATTTACAATAAAAACATAAAACCTCAAAACAAACTTTCTGGTTTTTTTTCCTGCTGAATTATTTCCCACTCACCAAACAATATTTTGGAAGGATTGACTTCAAGGTACCTAGACAAATAGCCAAGTCTCAAAAAGAGAAGATTTTTTTTTTTTAAACTGTGTTCCTTTCTCAGAAGAGAGCTAAATCTTTTCACAGAAAAACGCAAGGTTTATACCCTTTGACCTGTCCCACTTTGGGAAGTCCTGCAAGCAGTATTTTCATGTCCAGGGCATGAACCAGTGCTGTAGATGTAGGTTGGTAATTGAACCAGGCATCTATAGTGTTAGACTGGATGCCAAGAACCAGGAGTATACCCTGGGCCTGAATCAGCAACGCTCTGCTAAGTAAAGTGTCCAGTCTGCTGTCCCTTTAGACAAGTCTCAAGATGAGAACACCATACCAGAGTCACTAAACGTTGGCTAGTTAAGGAACAGAAGAGTAAAAGGACAGGAAACAGTGAAGGAGGTTGGTTAGACAAGGTGTGGATCTAGAACTTAGGGACCCTGGTTGTAGGGTAGAGGCAACAACTCCACTGCAGCAGGGAACCTTCCTGGAAGCCAACAGCTGCTTCCTCTCAGAACCTCCACAGTTCTCTAAGCTTCCCAGCTAGAAGCAACTTCCCTTGGCCTGAGCATAGGAACATCTGCCCTTTTGGACACTCTTTAACAACAGTCATGCACCTTGCCTTTTGCTGCAGAAGTGGTGCCTGCAAAGCGTCCTAGACCTCCACACCCACTGCCTCCAACCCCGCCCACCCACGCTCCACTGTTCTCCCTGCAGCCACAGGACCGCAGCCCCCTCCACTCGCGTCATCCAGGCGATGCTACATTTGCTAGGTTCAGAGGCTGGGCGCGAGCAGCCACTTGCTGCCCGTTCGTGGGAGGTCTGAATGCCAACGTGGCTGGCTCTGAGCTCCAGGTGTCAGGGCGGCCGCGGAGAGCCATGATCTAGTGCGCCGCAGTGCCAGCCTTAATCGCCCCGCTGCGGCCGCAGGACAGATGATTTCCCCGCCCTCCAGCACGACTACAAACCAAAAAAAGAAAAAAGAAAAGAGCTCCAGGTCTCTTCCCACACAATGCCAGCCAGGGATGCCGCACACTCCTTGTGGACAGAAGGACTGATTTGAGAAAAGACTTCACCCAGTCTCCTTTGAGACAGCTGCCACCACCAGGCAGCCCTCCGAGCCTGGCTGCCTGAGGGTAACTCGTCCACAACTCCCTTAGTCCCAAATGCCTCATACTAGACACAGGGAAGTAAACCCCTGGGACCGACTCCCCATATCACCTGCATTTGCATTTCTTATGTAATACACTGCAAGTTTCCCTGGTTGGAGCCCTTTGAAATCTAGGCGCATGATCTCCAGGAGGCATAAGTCAGGGACCCGCTGGTCATTCTGGGAACCACACACAGGGTTTCCGCACGGGATTTTAAAAGGGAAGGGACTTAAATGGCATATACTAGAGGTATATGGGCTTGTCCTCTGGGTCCTGGTTCCCCCAGGCACAAGCCCTGCTCCAGTGTTGACTGTTCGCAGGCTGGATGTATTAGAGGCAGACTAGGGAATGAGTTAACAACACCCAGAGCTGGACGGGGGAGGGAGGCGGGGGCTGACGGACGAGCCAGGTCATGAGGGAGGGGGCGCTTTTACTTTGCTAAAGGTGATGGGGTGGCGAATATTGTGCAAGCTAATCAGAAAGTCTAAAGCTACGTCTCCGGAGGAGCAGAAGTAAGGCAAGCTCTCCGCTCTTTCTCCTGGCACAGCCATAAGCCATAAGCCCTACAATATTCCACTAGACACGGGAGACCAAATCCGTTTAGTGGGGGGATTCTAAAAAAGTTTCCTCCTCCCTCCTAGTGATGGATCGTGTCACAGCTAGGAGCTGTTGATCAGGGTTTTTGGGTCGAGAGGACGTAGATCCGGCGGTGGCTACTTGTTTATTCATGCAACACCTCGGTATGCAACACTGTCCGGGTTCCTTGCATGTTCCCTACCCTGCATAGCAAAACTGCAGACCTAGCTCGGTGAGCAACAGACAGGGTATTACGAGGAAAAACAGAATATGATGCATGCTTTGCTTACCAGTTGGGTTCTTGTTTTTCTTAAGACTCTTGCCACAAAGACACTGCAGCATATGCGTTCCTTTGCTGAAAATGTTCCAAAGAAACCACATTGATTTGGGCGAAAAGCAACCCAGCAGCTTAGACACCCTGAGAAAAAAGAGGCCCTTGTGGTTGCATAATAATAACTTGAAATCAGTTCTCCTGAAGAGGGGCACCGGTTTTACCATAGGAAAAACGTTAATATTCCGGATCTTCTCCCAGTTTTTTCCCCTCACGTGGTATATCTCTTTGAGACTTCTCAGCGATTGTTTTTTCTCGGCCAGGGTGAATGATTTATCCCCTCTTGATCACCACTGGATCATGACCAAAGGGTTGGAGAGAAAAAAAATCCTTTTTCACATGAAGACAAACCGAAAAAAGCAAAGAAATCCCAACCGAGACCAGAACTAATCAGGAAGAATAGTAATGCACAAAAGATCCCCAAAGAGAAAATCATAGCCTTTTACTCAATGGAACTGAGGATGGGCGGATCTGCAGAAGGCAAGCCGGATTCATCTTAGCGAGAGAAGTCTGCCATTGTGTAGCCCCTAGGAGAGAAGGAAAAAAAGGAGGAGGGGGGGTGGAAATAAAAAAGGAAGAAAGAAAAGAAAGAAAGAAATAAAAACAAAACACCACCACACACACTCATACACCAATACCGCCTCCTAAATGGATCTGGCAGCCAAAGACTGAGCCTCCTCTCTCCCGCGGCCAATTTTTTTTCTTTCTTTCTTTTTTCTTTCTTTTTTTTTTTTTAAGTAAGCAGTCACCAGAGCTCCGTGGAATTGGACTGAAACTGCAGTTCGTAATCACGAAGAGAAGATGTAATATAGATGCCCCCTCCCCTTGTCAGTCTCGTAGTAGGTAGAAAGCGCCACAAATTTCCTTCCTCCTTCCTTACACTCTTCCTTCCAGTCTCCAGGCACGGTGAGCATGAGGAAAATCTCTCCGTATTTCTCGCCCAGCCTTGGCTGTGAGTTACAGGCATTGGAGGGAGGAGGAGTTGAAGTTTGCATTGAAAAGACTGGCTTTCCATGACGTAGCCACGTGCTTTCAGACCCGTCACCAGTGAGGTGCCTCAACCAGCCTTGGGAGGGACTGTGACTGCAGTGTGTGCCACCCCTCCAGGGCGCTCCCCTCCGCCAACTCCAGACACGCTCGGTCCAACCCCAGCGACCCTCTTCCTCCTCACCCAGCTCATAGGCCTGCTGCTGGCTCTTAGAGTCAGCTCACATCCTGCTGTTAGAAATGAATTTTAAAAATATAATTAACAATTATAATGAGCAAACCTTAGAAAATACACGGGGGAGGAGTTTAATGGAATTGCAAAGAGCCAAAACCAACTCCACTTTTCATCCTCAAAAGCAGCATTAAGGCACCTTAGATACTAAGGAAAATTCAAGTCCCTTTCTTTCTTGGGAAGTAATTCCCACTTACCGTGTTCATGAAAAAAATATAAACCAGGTGGATGGACAACACATTTCTAGAAACAGCCTATTATAAAAGGACAAACACCAGCCTGGCAGTGGTGGCACATGCCTTTTATCCCAGCCAGCACTCAGGAGACAGAGGCAGGAGGATGTCTGAGAATTAGAGGCTAGCCTGAATTTCAGGACAGCCAGAGCTACACAAAGAAACCCTGCCAAAAACCCAAAACAAACAAAACAGCAACACAAAAGGACAAACACCAAATCTAGATGGAAAAGCATATATATATATATATATATATATATATACACATATATATATATTGTGGAGAGGGTCAAATTGCAGAATACATTTATGCACTTTTTAGACAGATAGATCATTCCTTTGAAACACTTTACTGGACAGAAAGTATCCTAGTTTCATGCTCTAGTCAGTGCTTTATTTCTGCCTTCTAATCGAACCATCACTAAACTCATCCTTCTCCATTCTCTATGCTCATCACACAGACTATAGAATCACCCAGCAAAGTGGGCACAATCTAATCTAGCCTTCTATTTTCCCAGAAACTCTAAGGATTTGTGGCAGAGCTGGGGTTTTTTTTTCTGCTGGGTGGGGTGAGGAATACTATGTACAAAACAGAACAGACTGCTACAAGAAACAATATAACAAACTGCAGTGTTCCTTCAACCCAACACTCATAAAAACTGGTGCCAATTCCTATGTGTGAGCTGAGGATTTAGAAGCAGCGAAACATCACTCACTCTCTTTAAGTATTATTGCCAGTTTGATTCCATTTCAATGGGAAAACATTAAAAAGTCAATTTTAATCTTTAACTGTTTGTTTAGAAATTCCAGGTTATTTGTTCAAAAAAGCATTAAAACTACTACCTTTACCAACAAACTTTCTTTTAAGTAGGTGTGTAATTAGATAAACTTTTGTGGAATTGAGAACTGATTGAAGAGACTGGTTTGTAAAATAAATCTGTTATAATCTGTCCAGAAAAAATAATAAGCGTCTTCCCCACTTCTGCCTATTCTCGTAGTTGAGAAGCTTTTCCAAACACTAAAATTTGTTACAAAATTTGTTACAAATATTTGTTTGTGGGAAACATCAATAAATTTTACATTGGTATAGAAGAATTAAAGTGTATAAATGCTAATAGAGATAAGGAATTAAGGAACAAATGGCAATGATTTTATATATCAAAATAAACATGTCATTAAATTGATAATTTTAAATCAATTGCTAGTATTAAACACAGTTTAAAATGTTTGGGAGATAGAGAAAGGGCAAACAGATGCAACTACTGCCAAATGACTTACTACAAAGAACCCTGGGAAAAATGAAGAATTGAATCATTTTTTTGAAATAGAAAGAATGAGATGACCACTGCCAAACAAATAGATTAATTTTTATATCAATAAGAGAAAGATATTTTATGCTGTTTCTGTAATATTCTTTAGTATCTATCAGGGGGTTCTAGAATTTCCCATAAAGTTCTTCTGTGCAAAATCCAGAAAGAAAATTAAGTAAAAAAAACTCAGCTTATGAAGGTTCTGCAAACTTACCAGGCTGTAAGGTTCTGCAAAAGTTTATTAGTTCGGCCGGGCGATGGTGCACACGCCTTTAATCCCAGCACTCGGGAGGCAGAGACAGGTGGATCTCTGTGAGTTCGAGACTAGCCTGGTCTACAGAGCTAGTTCCAGGACAGGCTCCAAAGCCACAGAGAAACCCTGTCTCGAAAAAAACAAACAAACAAACCAAAAAAAGTTTATTAGTTGCCAGTTCAAAAATTGGGGAATTATTTAAAACTTTTATATGTGATATTTGTGTAAATTGTATTTCTCAAACCAAGATTTATTGAAATTACACATTGCAATGTCTTCTCTGAATCAAGAAAGAGAAATATTTCCATGTAGTAAGTCTTTTAACACTGAAATAAAGAATGATTGCCAGTCACCTATGGTCTCCTTTCTTGCCTATTGTTGAAAAATGTATTTCTTTGTCCGACTTACTAAGAATCTATTATACTAGGCACTGTTTTGCTTAAAAACAGAAATACTTTTGAAAATCTAACAATTGATATTTTATATTTATACACCATATCTACTAATACATCATTTATTCATTTGAAATAAGCTGTTATATTGTTGAATAAACATCAAGAAAAACTCACTTTTATCTAGGAGGAAGAAGACAGTTCTGATAAGTTCTGGCAATAGTAATCAATCATGCAACCAGTACCACTCTGAATTAATTATAGAGAGTATTGAGTATTCACTCTGAATATGATTTTAGAGAGTACCATATTAGATACTAAGTTTGGAAAAGGAACCAGATTTTCAGTGACAGAAGAGAGACCAACGGTGGTCTAGGATCACATATTTGGGAACATCCACAATTTGTATCATGCTGACTTGAGTTCCAGACTATTATTTAAGTTTCATTTTAGAAGAGAGTCAAAAGCTTGTTCAGTCACACTAAATTCAAGTAAATATTACTCGGCAAAAATGAAAACTAATATGAAAAGATATACATGTCTTGAATGCTTCTGAATAAAGAAGAGACTCTAAAACTGCAAAATTGACAGTAAAATTTGCAATGAATTACTTTAAAAATCATAATACTGTATTTTCATGAGGCTACAATAAAATCATGTGGTATTCATTATCAAAATCACTTTAATATTGAACTTGCTCTCAATATGTCATAGTAAACAAATATAAAAGTAAGTGTAATACTCAGGACTTTAGGACACAGCATTCTATTTAAAGATAGGACAGAACTTTCATAAAATCAGTCACCAAAACTTTGCTAGCTGTTCTTGGCTTTTTATGTTTGTTCCAATAGCTACTCTTCTGTTCTGCCTTTTAGTAATTGTTTAACCGCCACAGTCTTGGAAATACACAGAAATAGTCTGAGAAAGAGCATAATTCCTAACAGCCATTATAGTTTTAAACATGATCATATGAGAAAATTCTGACCTATGATATGTGAGAATTGATGTGGACAATTTCCTCCTCACAGGCTTCAAAATAAACTATGTAGCTCCCATTTCTCTGATCCATCCTTGCTACAAGCTAGAAGGCATGATAGGAGCAGCTGGGACAACACGCATAGGACCACATACTGAAAACAATGGAATAGAAGGTTGATCAATCTTGGACCTTGGACAGAGTCACCCACCCATCCTGGACAATTCACCTGTCTCTGAACTGTTAAAGAGGAACTTATAAATTGATGGAGCCTGTATTGATCCCATTGCATTGCTACAACAAAATATCATAAGTTGGTAAATTAAAAACAACAGTGTTGTAGAACATTAGTTGAAGATGTATTACATTTGTTTATGCTGTGGGACGATTGTTAAATGATGCAAAGATGTGTTGCATTCTTTTATATAACATTTGTTTAACTCTGTAAAGCTGTGTTCTTTTGCCTGCCTAGAACTCCTGATTGATCTGATAAAGAGCTGAATGGCCAATAGCTGGGCAGCAGAAAGAACAGGTGGGACTGGCAGGCAGAGAGAATAAATAAGAGAAGAAATCTTGGAAGAGAGAATCAAGGAGCAAGAAGAGGAGAGAAGATATTAGGAGTCAGTCACCCAGCCACACAACCAGCCAATGAGTAAGAAGCAAAGAAAGATATATAGAATGGGGGGGGGGGGGAGCCCAGAGACAGTAGGTAGACAGGATAATTTAAGAAAGGCTAGGCATTCATAAAAAGGAATAAACCTCCGTGTGATTTATTTGGGACCTG